AGAGAGCTCTTGAGGTTAAGAGTCGCTTATCAGCTCACATCAGCCACACCTTCCTCGTCCTTAACCTGTGTAAAGTCTGTGATAATCTAATTTCTTTATAATGATGCGTGGTTATTTTACATCTCAAATCCTAACGAAAAACAGTTTTCTCTGGTCAAATGACGTCTATCACGGTATATTCAGTCATTTTTGAGATGAAAAATGTACCCTTCAAGTAAGGAAATAATGTGCAATAAAGCGGACAGGAATTTGCAGAACATGACATGTACATGCAATAAAAATCAGAAAAAACAGATCTGATTTTTCCAAAGATCCTTGATTATTTCATTCTTTTCCATTAACAGTCGCTCTCGCGAAGTTCATGAAATAACTTATATGACCCAGGATTTAAAAGTGTCTCGAGGAATGATAACTCCAAGTTCATAATATTCAGGTTTTCAAAGTTGTCAACATGTACACTGACTTCATTGAAATTGTTGCTAATATCAATACCGTGTCTTGTTAATGTTCGCCCGGCAGTTCCGTTATGACTAGGTGAAAGCAGATCTACTGCAGCTGCGGCTTCCACGGGTTCGGAAGTGGGCTGTCGACCAGCTGACGGCTGAACTCCACTAATCTTACGAACGAATTTTCTTGTTTCAGCGCTTATTTTTCTCAAGGGCCGCATACTATGCCGTCCAATCCTCGCAAATCCGGACCTGAATTCTTTGCTTTTCAAGGCGTAAATAAACGGATTTAAAACACTGTTAGCGTATGTAAAAAGGCGACATACCACAGATATGTAATCATAAAATTTGTTGGCTGCAGCATTTCCAAAGTCTATCCAAAGCCAGAAGAACTGATTCGGAGACTTGCCGATGGCAAAAATCATAACAACGATGACGAACATCCTTGCCAAGTGGATATTCTGTTCTCTTCTCAGTTTGAGTTCGGCGCTCTCCTTGCTTAAAGTCGACATTTTGCTTAGCGTGCGCGTGCGACTCCTCTGTTTTCTCATCGACATCCTAGAAAAAAGCCTGAGGGTGTTTGAACGCAAGCTGCGATAGATAAGTAGATACGCCATCGACATGGTTATCAAAGGCAAGGCGAATTGAAAAAGAAAGAGTGCAATAGTGTAAGCTTGGCTGTGGCCCACACTAGACCAGTGTTCCTTGCAAGACTTTTCAGAGTCGTCGTATCCCAAAACGATAAAATAGGGAACGCACAAGCTGAGGGAAAAAATGTGAATTGCCAAGGCGAACATTACGACTGTAGCTGAAGATACACGCTCCACCAGAGGTCTTGCAAGCGCTCTGTATCTGTCTAAGCTAATAGCCGCTAGAGTTAAAGAAGAAGATGTTGAAAACATCGTCACAAACGGCGATAAAATTTTGCACATCGCTTTCCCAAAAGGCCACTTGTGGTCCAGTTCTTCTATGGCCAAATCCAACGGAATGCCGACAACTGGTGTTATAAGGTCGCACAGAGCCAGGTTAAGGATGAATAAATTCGGAGGTGTTCGCATCCCTTTCACTCCGATGATAACAATAACGACTAAACTGTTCCCAACACAGCTTAGTACGAAGACCACAACATACAAAGCTATCTTGGTTATTCGGAACTCAACGGCTTCGGTGAAATCGCCAGCACCCACTCCGAGCGAACTACTGTTTGCTGCCATTTTGAAATCCTATCACTGTGGCCGCCTGTGAAGACTTAATAAATGAGCCGATCCGCCTTATTTGTTTCCGCCGAGTCGCAGTTGTTATTCCTATAGATTTTCAGATAAAAATACCAATAACTTTGACCTGTCGTCCGTTTACGCTGCAAACGCACAGATATGTTGAAAAAACATTGTCTTAGGAAATAAAGGACAGTCGGGGCAAAATCAATCAATGACTGAAATACTGACTTACTTAACTCAGTAATAATCCTTGCGCCCACAGCACGTAAACTATTTAAAAACACTCGTCACTGTAGGGTATTAAAGCCATGTGAGCATTGTATAATTATCAAAATGAAAATATGTTACCATCCTACTTCGAGAGAAAACAAGGACTTTGAAAAAGGTGACAAGTGTTTAAAAGCATCACTTTCAGATGGTTATTTATTTAAATTTAGATTAGACTTTCAAATAAGAAAGTGAACCGTTCGTGACCATTCTGTGAGGGCGTGAGCAATTTTCCCGCTCTCTTGATGTATCTTTTACGTGCGCGTGGGAGGCGAGGTATGGCCCATAGGCTTTGTACGAAATCCAAGCGAGTTCATTTAAGTGAAAGCTATTGACTAGATTTTCCCTTGGCGCTATTATTTTTTTTTTCAGTTTGTTTTGGGAGCATGAAGATTTCCCCCGGGAATCGCCGATTCATGTGGCCTGGATTACCAGCCGCTGATCCGGATCGGGAAGACCAGTCTCGAAAGAGCGGCGGAAATCGAGCCTATGACTGACTTTGTACCGGACGCAAGGAGTATTGAACAGTGGATTGTTGGACCGTTCGTATTATTTTCCAAATCTTAAACAATTGAGAATCAAAGTTATTGATGTCTATAAACAACTGATCTCTTGACGAGTATTCATTTATGAATCTGATCAACTGCAACTACCCATACCCACAAGCCCATCAGTATAAAATTTCACCCACCGCTTCAAAGTTTCAGCCTCGTCCTACGCAATTTGTATAAATCTTCTCCGAACATAAAATTTCTTGTTTATCTAGGAAATTTGCCCCCTTTAACGTCTTTTCTGGCAGCAGAGCCTCGTTGTCTCGAAGTCAATTATCAATCGAACTCCCCGCTATCTTAAACTCAAATCATTTTTCCTTGGATATACTTTCTCAGTCTCTTGATAAGAGTCGAACTATTTTTTTTCCGTTGAGGTTGAGGTTCTGAAGATAATTTGGTGAACCAGCCAAGTAACCAGCTTTCGGAGCAAAAACCCTTGCTGAAAAGATCAGCAACGTAGCCTGACATAGTAGATTATGGATTTTAGAGGTCAAGTTTCGCCAATGAATCCTTTCATTCAAGCAGTGCCATGGACAAGAGTCGAAGGCTTCAAGTCTAGGGTACAAATCGAAAACACGTATGATGCATGCTTATTGTGCTTCGAATTCCAAGCGAATGAAGCAGATTAAGTGTTCATCAAAACCAGCGGGAAAGAGGCCCTTAAAACCACGGTAAAATGGATTTCAATTGTTCAGAGAAGGCAAACTGATAAACAGCGATGAAAATTTAACACTGGCCTTCTCAGTCAGTATCTTTTCAGTCATAAGTAGGGGTAGATGCTTGCTGCTATCTTATCAACACTGGTATATATAAATCAGTTGCAAATGGAAAAAAATCTGCGATCTCATGCGAACCGTCGATCATTGGCCTAACCACTAATTTTTACGATCAACGCTTCCTGCATGGTATAACGACGTATATTTTGGTTAAATTATATTCTAACTTTTAAACTTATCAACCCAGAACTTATTACCGATAATCCAGATTCAGTTTACTTTCTTTGGCCCTTATTTGCGCGGGAAACACTCCCACCAGTTTATACTTGTTGTTTTTAGGCGCCTTTCAACTAACACGGGCATTAGAACAACGCTAATCCGCGCTATAAATATACCCTTCGCTGAGTTGTTCACTGCTTCCAAATTTACCTCTATTCCTAATTTATTAACTACCCTACTCCCTAACCAATGGAGTTAACCAGTACTCGCTGTATTATTATTATGTAGGCTATTGCTAAATTGTGATAGGACATCGTTCGTGGCTAGTCATGCGCAGCTTGTTTCGTCCCGGCCAAGGGACTCATCAGAGACCTTTCTACTTGGCAAACGCCTCGGGCATCGCGCCCAAAGTCCCGTTCACTAACAAAATGATGACAGCAATCTCGCCTTATATTGCATAGGGATTCCCGACCGCACAAATTCACCAGTGAAAATTGACAATAAAGTTGACAGTTACTTGCGATAATACATTGTTCGTGGCTAGTCTTACGCAGCTCGGTTCGTCCCCGCCAAGGGACCAGAGACCTTTCTGCTTGGCAAACTCGTTGGGTATCGAGCCCAAAGTCCCGTTCGCTAACAAAATGATGACAGCAATCTCGCCTTATATCGTATAGGATTCCCGACCGCACAAATTTACGAGTGAAAATTGACAATAAAGTTGACAGTCACTTGTGATTATACATTGTTCGTGGCTAGTCTTACGCAGCTCGTTTCGTCCCTGCCAGGGCACCAGAAACCTTTCTGCTTGGCAAACTCGTTGGGCATCGCGCCCAAAGTCCCGTTCGCTAACAAAATGATGACAGCAATCTCGCCTTATATTGCATAAGGATTCCCGACCGCACAAATTCATCAGTGAAAATTGACAATAAAGTTGACAGTTACTTGTGATAATGCATTGTTTGTGGCTAGTCTTACGCAGCTCGGTTCGTCCTTGCCAAGGGACCAAAAACCTTTCTGCTTGGCAAACTCGTTGGGTATCACGCCCAAAGTCCCGTTCGCTAACAAAATGATGAGAGCAATCTCGCCTTATATTGCATAAGGATTCCCGAACGCACAAATTCGAATTCACGAGTGAAAATTGACAATAAAGTTGACAGTTACTCATGATAATACATTGTTCGTGGCTAGTCTTACGCAGCTCGTTTTGTCTCGGCCAAGGGATTCATCAGAGACTTTTCTGCTTGGCAAACTCGTTTGACATCGCGCCCAAAGTCCCGTTGGCTTCCCGTATCCCTTATTGGTTACGTCTCGTGTGAAACTCACACACGGAGTTCGTTTTCCGGGGGTACGTAGCATGATATCATTTGCAGTTGCAATTCATTTACACAACATCCTGTAACTTCGCTACTAAAGCTAGATTAACTAGTAAAGAACTTACTGACGGAACCAACATCACAGAACTGAACGACTGACTGACTGACTGACTGACTGACTGACTGACTGACTGACTGACTGACCGACCGACAATTTGACCGAACACTATTTAAGTGTCTCTCCTTCAAGAATGCTATTAGAGAACAAAGATTCCGGTTTGTAGTTTGGGCGGCCTCTCATCTCGCAAGCGTGGTGAACTAATTTTCCCCTACAAGACCCTCACTACAATGAGCACTGCTGGGTGAGTTTGCGTGGTTCCTTCCGATGTAAATTGCAAACTTAAACATAAGCAAGTTTCACAGAATTAACGTCCCACAGAATTAATTATGAAGAGTTGTGAGACAGATTAGGGCTTGATAGATGTTTGTGGACTGTTTGTTGAACGGCCCTAATATTCAATATATGTTAAAAGTGACTTTTTCCGAAACAGAAAAAGGTCTCAATGGAGTTAACCGTTAGGAGGAAAACAGGCCAAAAATAAGGCCTTTAGCATTAAAATTGGAAAAGTCTAACCGTTAGCCTTAAAAAAAAATGTTAACCAAAGGAAAAAAAAAAAAAATTGGCCACGAAAGTGAAGGTCTTAAGAACTCTTGTCAAGACTTTTGTGTCTTGTTTTACTATAGCAGTAAGCTATATTAGTCTACCAGTGTCATAATAATACCATCCCGGAATGGCCCTAAGACCTTAAACCTTTTTAAACTATGAAAGTTCATGTTTAACTTTTTAAAACGATGACAATTTATTTCTGCGATTTTTGTTAACCGTTAGGAAAATCAATTATCCGTTAGCCGTAAAAATAGCAACCACCCCATTGAGCAACTTAAAATAACCTTCCACATGCTGGTGACGCACACCACTTCTTGTTGCATTTGGATAGGATATCGACCTCGCTCAGTCCATTAACTGAACTGTCGGTCGCTCGTTAAAACTTCATAGCAATTACTTAAGTTCAAAAGGATTTCCTGAATATTTAAAAACGGAACAGATGCATCTTCTATCATTTCATGTGCAAAGATACAAGCAAATGAAAACCTTCTTTGTCGCTCTCTTGTATTATATTACACTGAGAGTGTGTGGTCAGGGTGTACTGATAACTCTCCGTATGGAAAGCAGATTTCAGGAAAAGGTTAAGTGTAGATTGTACTCGAGATTAGTTAGCTTAATTAAAATCAAGAGTCATTCTTGAAACGTGTCCCAAGAATTTTCCATGTGAAAGCTCTACAAGGCCTAAAATGACTTTCCAGAGAAAAACATCATGTAAAAGAAACTTATAATGCGTCGCTTATTAAGTTTAGTTTAAAATTCTAAAATTGAAGTATACATATATTTGAAAACTTCATTGATATTCAGATATCTGGGTCATCTCTATCAAGTTTGTTCTTATTCTGGTTATTTCTTTTCCCCGAAGATAGACAGGTTTTGCAGGGTCCGGGATGATGGACAACAAGTTAAATCAACTATGTAAAAATCTTTTTTTCCTTAACGTGCAGACTCCTCGTCATAAGTTCATACATTAAAGTAAAAGAACAAAACATATTTCTGCTGCACGAGGTAACATATTTACGATGCCAATTTTACTTAGTCAACTTGGCTTTTTTTTAAATAGAATCGACTGAAGAAGACACGAGGCGTCTGGGAGCTGTCTTACTTTTTGTTTTTGTGGTCAAGTAAAGGCCCTTGATGAGTAGGTCTGTGCTGGGAAAACAAACTGATCGTGCTGGTCCAATTTCACTGAAGGCTGACCTCGGGTCTTTGATCAGATCCGACAGTCAATTTCAAGGGTTCCTGCTCACGTGTGAGAAAAAACAAACAAACGAATGAACAAAAGTGCAAAGCAAAAAATAAACCAAACAGAACAAGGTACGTGAGCAGTTCTGGCGAAAAAGTCAATGTTCCGAAAGAAGAGAGTGGCGCCCACTTTCACCCAGAAAAAAAGTTTCATTTGATCAATAAATAGTTTAACACTTAAATATCAAACTGACTAAAGAGGTTATCTGGAGTGGATAATTATGATGAAATTATGAAACGTCTCGACGAACAAACAGCTGTGGAACTTGAGTTGCATGTCAAATGAGCGAAGTGGTTCAAATTGACGAGTTTTTTCC